GGGACGACTTTCAAAACATTCTTCGAAAACAAAGGCCGTCGCTTTTTACTTTGGGAAGTTTTATTCAACCAAGGTCATAGGCCGCGGACCAAGGACCGCTAAGCGAAATTTGGTGATATTTTTCAAGAGTCGCTAAAACAAAAAATTCATAGTCTACAGCGATATGCTTCCAACAGCAGAAATAAGTTGATCTGAAAACCTGTTCTGCAAAAAGGCAAGTCTTCCCGTTGCGTTTTAGTTATTCGCAGGCTAAGTAAACATGACCATGTAATTTACGTTACCACAAAAATCCAAACTTCAAGAAAGACAAATTAACCTACCTGTCAACAAACTTTAATTTCGCGTCTTCACCCGCAGCAAGAAAGCTGAAACTTCGTCATACGAAAGAATGCTAATCAGTTAATCACGACATCTTTCATAATTCAACGTATTTTTTTTCTTGACGAAATATTTTATCATTTTCGGAGAAGACGCGGACCAAGGGCATCGGGGACTTCCGCGGACCAAGGACCACATACTGTCCAGAAAACAAGCTGTTTTTTTCATTCACCGTACTGAGTAATAGGTACTTTGCACACACAGTCGAAAAATAGGGTGCTCTTTCTGACCACCTAGACTTTGCTTCCACTTTTTTTATATTACTCCTTCGCTTGGGGTTCACAATCACTTTTATCTGCTGAAGTAATCTAAGTAGTAATATTTTGGTTATCGAAAGGTTATCCAAAACCATTAAAAATTATGCTTATAAAGGGCAGTATTTCCGTGATCAATTTTTTGTACCCAAGTTTGCTGAACAATTCAAGCAATGTAAAACCAATGACCTGGCCTGACTTTGCATGGCTTTCAGAAATCAAATATTAATGTACAAAAATCTTTCACCATGAACCCTGAGATGTGCTGAGTTAGCTTGTGGTTTTTTTTATGATTCAGTGAATGTCCCCTGCTAATGATACAAATCAAATCACAGCAGAAAGGGTGGAGAGCTTATCAGAGATAGGGGACAATAAATTTTGACTGTTGAAAATGGAGACTATAACAAGAGGGACTATGGTAAAAAAATATTCACAGCCCCTATGGTACAAATGAAATCTCAAGGAGAATCTGATTGAAAGTTGTCAATTTTATTTTCACCTTGTTTTCATTACTCAAATTTATTTCCACCTTTAATATTTTTAAATTAAGATCACTATTAGCCTATCAATCAACCATTTTTTCAAGAAATAGCACTGAAAGCTCATGAAGTTACATCAAATAGATTTAAATGATCATTTAAGATTAACTGCTTCCCTACTAAACTGTCATTATCAAATTAATAAGAAATAAGGGAAGAATATGGTGGATAATTTGCATTAAAGTTAAAGGGGTTTATGAATTCCTAACAGTTCAAGTGGCTATCTACAGTTGAAATGTCTTTTGTAAGGTCCTTTTTATGCTCTGTCCACCTCTATTACAGCTCTATTTCCCATCAGAGTTCATTGAAGTAAATAAATGAATAAACCTTTTAAGTTCCAAAAGTGACCAATATTAATTTTCTCCCAATAGTAACAAAGGAAAAGGTCATGGTAATTTAAGAAACTCTCATCTCTTTCTCAAATTGTCTGAAGATTACTCTGGAAAATTGTACTTGGATAGTGGAGCTTAAAGGGTTGGAATAAAGAGAAAATGAAAGTGGAAGAAATTGACCACAACTAAAAACAACTACTTTGAGTGTACATATAAATAGGCCACTTGCACTAAGAGGTCACCTGACCAATGCTTCCTTTAAACAATGAGTTGGAATCTTGCTGATGCCAAAAACTGACAGAGCACAGAAAAATTAGCTTACACCCGAAATTTGAGAGGAAACGCATTTAAGGGAGATATTTTATTGCACTTTGATTTATCAACAAAGTAGTATGATTTGTATTGGCCGCCATGTTGGAGGGCATACTCTTGCCCTCCAACATGGCGGCCAAAACTACTTTTTGCTTATATCTTGTTAAACGTTTGATAGTTACGCTCAGATGTGCTGTAAACGTTACCACATCATTTTTCAACATCCACCTTGAAGTTTAAGTGCAAAGCATGTGTTCAGAAAAAAGTAATTCATAATTTTAAAAATCTCATTTTGGTCACGTGACTAGAGAGGAACTTACTCATTTTAAGAAGATGATACGGGTTTGAAACACAAAATCACTATTATTCTGTTTAAGATATGACCCACTAATCGTTTTTCGAAGGCAAAATCATATAGCTTTCATTTTCATGAAAACTGTCATATGACCTCTTGGTGCAAATGGCCTATTAATTAAAGCTTTAATAGTGGTTCATAAATTGAGCTAGCACTTAACAAATAATATACATAGTACACATTGTTTCACTGATCCCATGGGTATCTTAAGGTATAAATATCCAGGCCATTCAATCTTTACATTCACTTTAATTTGTGATTATCTCAACAGACTATTCACATCATCTACTTTTCTTCAAATTCCATTTCTCCTCCAGCACCATTTTTTTTGTTGTTTTAATCACAACTTGTCCTCTTAAATATCTAGGCACAGAGCAGAGCCACTGGCTCCGAAGTTTAGAAAAAGGAAAAAAAAAAGAAATAGAAGAAATCAATTCCAACCTGGAAGGAAAAACTACGATTTTAATTGGAGATTCAATTACGAAAAATATCCAAAGGTTTGCACCTATTAAGTACAATGATTACTTTCCAATTTCCAAAGTGTTAAATGCTGGCATTTCTGGTGACACTGTGGAGGCAATACTGTACAGGGTGGAAAGTATGAACTTCCCCAAATCTGTTTCAAATATTTCTCTACTATGCGGAACAAATAATCTAGCAAGTACATCTCCTTCTGTTATATCTGCCACGATCATCAAAATATTAACTGTTATTTTTCAAAAATGCCCAACTGCTATCATTCATGTGTTTCCCATTTTACCACGGTTTGATCATTGTTTTTCTTTAGTACAAGTTACTAACACACAAATTTATTTTCAGGTTCAAGAGTGTTTTCCAGAAAGAGTTTTTTACCATGACTTACCACCTTCCCTGGGAAANCGGGTTTGAAACACAAAATCACTATTATTCTGTTTAAGATATGACCCACTAATCGTTTTTCGAAGGCAAAATCATATAGCTTTCATTTTCATGAAAACTGTCATATGACCTCTTGGTGCAAATGGCCTATTAATTAAAGCTTTAATAGTGGTTCATAAATTGAGCTAGCACTTAACAAATAATATACATAGTACACATTGTTTCACTGATCCCATGGGTATCTTAAGGTATAAATATCCAGGCCATTCAATCTTTACATTCACTTTAATTTGTGATTATCTCAACAGACTATTCACATCATCTACTTTTCTTCAAATTCCATTTCTCCTCCAGCACCATTTTTTTTGTTGTTTTAATCACAACTTGTCCTCTTAAATATCTAGGCACAGAGCAGAGCCACTGGCTCCGAAGTTTAGAAAAAGGAAAAAAAAAAGAAATAGAAGAAATCAATTCCAACCTGGAAGGAAAAACTACGATTTTAATTGGAGATTCAATTACGAAAAATATCCAAAGGTTTGCACCTATTAAGTACAATGATTACTTTCCAATTTCCAAAGTGTTAAATGCTGGCATTTCTGGTGACACTGTGGAGGCAATACTGTACAGGGTGGAAAGTATGAACTTCCCCAAATCTGTTTCAAATATTTCTCTACTATGCGGAACAAATAATCTAGCAAGTACATCTCCTTCTGTTATATCTGCCACGATCATCAAAATATTAACTGTTATTTTTCAAAAATGCCCAACTGCTATCATTCATGTGTTTCCCATTTTACCACGGTTTGATCATTGTTTTTCTTTAGTACAAGTTACTAACACACAAATTTATTTTCAGGTTCAAGAGTGTTTTCCAGAAAGAGTTTTTTACCATGACTTACCACCTTCCCTGGGAAATAGCAACATGTATCGGGACGATAACATACATCTGACAAAAAAGGGAAACAACATTTTGGTCAGATGGATGCACTATAAACTGGGTGGTACTACTAAACATCAGCTAGTTCCCCCCTCCCATCCTTCTGACACAGTGTTTTCTGAAACTGCTGCTGACTGGCCTTCCCTTCCACCACCAAGCCCTAAACCCAATCTCATCCAAAAACATTCAAAATCAACTATTCCGCAAGCCACGCCACAACTCACCCCAAACCTCCCAACATCTCATCTAACAGTGACTGGCCTCCTCTGCCACCACCCAGCTTTAAACGTGACATTCTTCGGGTACGTATTTCAAAGGCCAGCACAACAAACCCCACTCCAAAGGGCAACCCTAAAAACCACCCTCCAAAGCCCAACTCTACAAACCCCATTACAAAGCCCATTTGCACCAACCCCACTCTTAAGCCCAACACTACCAACCCCATTACAAAGCCCATCCTTACCAACCCCACTCGAAAGCCCAACCCTAAAAACCCCACTTCAAAGCCCAATCTTACCAACCCCACTACAAAGGTCAACCCTACCAACATTTCTTTAAAGGCCAACCCCACTTCAAAGGCCAACCCTACCAACCCCACTCTAAAGGCCAACCCTACCAACCTCACTCCAGCACCCAACCCTACCAACCCCACTTCAAAGGCCAACCCTACCAACCTCACTTCAAGGGCCAACCCTACCAACCCCACTCCAAAGGCCAACCCTAACAACCTCACTCCAAAGGCCAACCCCAACAACCCCACACAACAGACCAACCCCACACACCCAACCACCAACGCCAACCCTGCCAACCCAACCACCAAAAAACAACCCGACAACCCCACCAACAAAACACCCACCACAAACCCCACCAACAACAACCACACATACAACCCACCCACCAAAACCCCCACTCCACCCACCCCCCCTCCACTCCCCACCTCCATGCCCAACCCGACCACCCCCCCTCCCCCGCCCCACCCTCCCACCCCCCCCTCAACGGCCATCCCTACCACCCCCACTCCACCGCCCAACCCTACCAACCCCCCTCCCACGGCCAACCCTACCAACCCCACCCCAAAGGCCAACCCTACCAACCCCACTCCAAAGGCCAACCCTACCAACCCCTCTTCAAAGGCCAACCCTGCCAACCTCACTCCAAAGGCCAACCCTACCAACCTCACTCCAAAGGCAAACCTTACCAACCTCACCTCAAAGACCAACCCTACCAACCCCTCTTCAAAGGCCAACCCTACCACCCTCACTCCAAAGGCCAACCCTGTCAACTTCACTTCAAAGGCCAACCCTACCAACCCCACTCCAAAAGCCAACCCTAAAAACCCCACTTCAAAGACCAACCCTACCAGCCTCACTCCAGATCCCAACCCTAAAAACCCCACTCCAAAGGCCAACCCTTTCAATCCCACTTCAAGGGCCAACTGTACCAACCCCACTCCAAAGCCCAACCCTACACAATCCAGTTTAGAACTAGACCCTAACCCACATAATGTGGAACCTAGTCCTTCCCAACCAACTTCAAACCCTAGCTCTTCTCAACCCATATCTAACTCCATCCCTGCCAAAATAATAAAGAAAGAACCAGCCATTCCTTATCTGTTTTGGATATACTTACAGTTATGTATTCCTGGTTTTGTTCTGTTTGTTTTGGCACAAAGCAACGCTCACTTTCTGGCAGTGACGCTACCATTTCCAATGATTGTTGTGATGGTCTTATTTTCAATACCTGCAACACACATTTCACACACTGGAAATAAGCAGAAACAAAATAGCCACCTTAAAACAAGACTGAATGATCATGAAGTATCTCAAGATAATGTTGACAGAAAAAAAACAACAAGAAAATGAGTTGCCACAACAACAAAATGTGCAAGAACCTGAAGAACTGGGCCAGGAATCAGCAGACACTTGCACATCCAGGGGGATGGGTAATTCTTTGTCTTATGCTCCTTTATGAATATCACTTTGATTTTATTGACCATTTACCAATACAGGCCTGTTCACATAGGCTAGTCCTTACAGTTATTTTTAGGGTACAATCTTCATTAATCATACTTTCCATGTATTTACTCCACCCCAAAATTGTTTCTTCTTTGATTTTCACATTTAACAGTGCAAACGTTGAAAGCGATTTCGCTTTAAAAACTCTTCAACCGGCTTCAGTTGGTAACTTTTTCCATATTTTTCGTCTTCGAACAAATAAACACAAGAAACAGCAATTGGTTTTAATGAAAAATTGGAAAAGTAATTTGAACAGAATTTTAAATTTTAAAAAGAGATTTAGTGAGCATTTCCACACCAACAAAGATACCAATCAGACAAGAGAAAAGCAGCCACATGACCATGTTAACCAACAACAGTTCTTGGCACTAGCAGAAACCCTTATCCACTACCTCACCTTCAGTCTCTCGGTCATACGGGTATTTCTACCAGGCTTAATTTTCGTATTTTTAGTTCTTCCAAAAATACAGACATTCTCGAAACTTTTGTACAACCTACCCAGGGATTTCTTGGACAAAATGGCAATGAATTATTCTCATCTATTTAACCAACTTCAGCACCTATTCGTAGGTTCTGTCATTTTAGGCAATGTGGCTATCAACAGCTTTGTCACAGCCTTTATGTTAGACAATTTCCCTCTTTCAACTGGCTCATACTTAATATCAACTTCGCATGTGATACAAAATGTCTTGCACCTCAGTAGCTTTTCATGCTTTACTTGTTTATACCTGATTCTACTATATGTTAAAGAGTATGACATTTTCCTCTTTGTGTGTTGCTTTGGGGTTCTGTTTGTCAAGCTAATGGGTGAATCTCTAACAGCTTCTACCCTTTGGTCAGGTAGTACTTTATTAGGTATTTACCTCATATTTGAATATATGCTTATTGATTTACTTAACATGCATTTATCTCTTCCTGGAAATTTATTGTGTTTTTTCCATCCATTTAAAAGATTTGTGACTCAGGTTTTCGTTCAGGACTGGAATGGAAAAACCCACACATTTAGACTACCTCAAACCGCCATAGTATCAGATCTAACAAGCCAATTGTCACTTAAATTTAAAATCCAAGAATGTGATTATTGGCTGAGTGGTCCAGGAGGGGAAAAAATGGAACAAAATGAAAAACTAGTAAATCTTTCTACCATACATATCAGACTCAGACTGAATGGTGGGGCAAACACATGCTGTATAAAAGGCTGTACAGAGGAGGCATCAAATAGAACAATATCAAGCCTTGTAGGTGTCTATGAATTGAAGGTACCACCTGACATGCTACAACAAGAAAATGATCTAAGCCACAGCTTAACCATTTGCAACCACCACTATAAATTACAAAGGCAACAAGGACATAAACCAAGAAAATTAAGTGCACCAAAAAGAAATTTCTATGCCAAATTAGACACTTCTGATGTACTCTCTTTTCTTGGTATAAGAACATGCACTTTCTGCAGGAAAGATGTTACAGTCACCAGCAAGACTCCTTGTTCACAGCACACTCTTTTAATTTTAACAAAACCTTATATGTGTGCATGCAACTGCTTGGATGAATCAAAAGATGGCAAAATCCAAGAAATAAACAGTGAGAAATATAACTGTACTACATACAAAGGTGACCACTCTGATTCTGAAGAATTAAGGTACATTTGCACTGAATGTTGTTCATCTCATTTGTCACCAACAAAGACAAACAACCTGCAACATAATTCTGATGTAGTCTCTCCAGAACACCCCGAGGATATCAGCATAAATGCAATTCGATCTGAAACACTGAATCTACAATTTCCATTTTCTGAATTTCTTTTGTGTGGTAGAGAAAGTGGTGAAAAATTTATTCGTTTCAAACATATTTCTAACATTTTCCTTTTGCTATCTAAGCTAGAGTTTTCTCCATGGGATGTTTATCTGCAAAATGGAAAAACTGGTATAATGCTTCATTTCCTAGTTGGCGCTAGTTTAGAAACTTTGGCTACCAAGAAATTCACAATATTTTGCCCCTTTTTATTCGGTGCACCCTATAAAATCTCATTTTCAGTATATGCACTGGGTAAAAAAGTTGATGGTGGATTTTTTCCAGACAGCTGGTTTGAAAGTGAAACTACAGCAAAACATGCAATAAGTGACCTTCTGCATGCTCTATTCTCATTACAGCTTTGTCTTGGACTTTATGGTGAAAGATATATTGATAACATAAAATCTCCACACGTTTCGAGCAATGATGCTGGCAAGCATTATGAAACTGACACAAAATTTGTTCTTAAGAACCATAATATTTATGGAAAAAAGATCAGCCAGACTTTAAGAAGTGTTAACCCAGAAGGACCTTGTAAAAGGTTAGTATGGCAATCTAAATCAGAAAGGTGTCAGAACTGTCAAATTTTATCGAAAAATATCAACATTTGTCAGCCTATATTGTCTGATAAAAGCAGATCAAACTAAAGAACCAAGATATCAGCACTTAGTTTTGATGAACTGGTTGAGAGATACAGAGATTTAAGGAAAACATGTGACTACTGGAAAAAAAGAACAAGACACTACATGAAGCAAAAGAAAATCAAGGTCCCTCTCAATTTTAAGATCAGTTCAACGCAACTCGGTCAACTCATAGACACAGCTGTTGAAAAGAACCTATTAAATCAAAATTCTGTCTTGTACTTGTTGTTGATGGACACTCTGATAGGCTTACATAAGCAAAAAAAGGAATTTGAGAAAACCAATTGCAAATTGACCAAAAACCAAAAGAAACCAAGAGCAAAAGGAATAAGGTACCATCCACTGGTTATTAAATGGTGTTGTTCTTTGGCAAGCAAGTGTAAGGAAAAGGGTTATGAAGGCATTCGAAACATACTGCCACTGCCACATTGGAATACAATCAGACAATACAGGCAAACTAGCTGCTCCTCCGAGCCAATAAACCAAGAGAATATTAGGAGAATGATTCAGGAGATGGAACGGAGAAACTGTAAAGGAATAGGAGGAATCCATTGGGATGAAATGACAATTCAAGAGGGAATTGTAGTTTGTAACAGAACATGAGAACTTGTTGGTTTTGAGAATCTAGATATTCCTCAAGAAATTAAAGATGACTTTCACCATACACATAATGAAAACAATTTAAGTGACACTGACACTTCAGACTCTGAGTTGGCCAATGAGAGTTCCTCAAGTGAATCATCAACTGTGATTCAATTGAAAATAAGAGGAGTGATAAGCAGTTGAAAGCAAAAATGATATGCCAATTTTTCTTCTAATCAATTGAAGGGGACTTTTCTTGGCCTGTTGCCAGTTTCCCAGTACAGTGAATGAACAGCAAAAACCTTAAACTGATTGTTTGGAAAGTAATTGAAGTCCTCTCTAAGACAATGGTAAAAAATACACCCATTCAAGTACTTTATGGTGTTTGTGATGGTTCCTCCTACTCCCATGCATTTTTCCGTAAATCAAATGTCCAAAACTGGGTGTGTTGCAATCCATACAACAACAATGTGCCCATTTGGTGGCTATCAGACTATCCTCATTTGATTAAAAAACTAAGAAATTTCATAGTAAATCCAGCCAGGAATATGGAATGGGCAGCACAAAAAATAAACTTGGAAGACCTGATGGATGTCGTTGAGAGAAAACAAACAAAATTGCGCTGGAAACATGTAAAATTAAAGTGCCCATCACCAAAAATTTTTTATTTTCTTATCTGAAACTATACCTTATTAAAATAACTTCTGCGAAAAAATTTTGCGATTTGAACAAAAGCCGATTTTTTTACAATTTTTTGAAGTCTACATTTTTGCGGTACACCCGCGCCGCTGATCACGCAAACTTGCAGGCTCGGCTATGACGTCATGTGACGTAAATTAAGGAACTCGCTTTACCTTGCCTTCACTAGCTGTACACAAAAAAGATCGATTACAAGTAAGGATTGAATCGCTATGTCTTCGCAAGAAGAAAGTTGTTTTGAAACAGAAAGTGAAAAATCAAGAAGTGAAGACGAGACCATCGAGGTAGAAGCGGTCGTATGAGAAACAGAAAACAACATACAAGACGATTGGCTCGAGCCGTACGCAGACGAGCCTTTAGCTGATCAATGGCTGCAAAACAGTCGGTGTGAACAAGCTGAAAGAGATCAGTTGGAAGAACTTAGAAGAGCTGGAAAAGAGTCTTGAAAACGGCGTTCGTGTGGCTGACTGGTAAGTTTTCTTGATAGTTCTGCGGGCTACTGCTTCGAACGTTCAGCAGCAACAAAAGAACTATATATCTTCTACATTGCTCTCGAGTCAGTTTAGAAGCTTTTCAATGTTTGCGGCATTACTCGCGTCTATATTTTACGTTTACGTGTACTTGTGGAATTTGTAGCAGTAATCTGTTCATACACATTAGTGAATGCTATTGCTGCAAGGAGCTGGAAGGTTGTGTTGAGGCCCATGTCGAGTGAAGTTGTCCGCGAAGAACCCTTCATTTTCTTTACTTCTCGGGGTTACTTGTACAACTTTAATGTAACACTGATATTGACGTATAAAATCTGTTCTACAGCAGTAGCATTTCTTTTACATTTGTTGTAGATATCTCCGATCAATTGATTGCCGGGAGTTTACAAGACTTGTCTATGAACACCTGGGAAAAAAAAGGATACCTCTCCCTGCCTGTGCATATGCTGCTATTCAGAAATCAGTTCTTACCAAGGAGGACGAGCAACTAGCTGGTTTTTAGTTAGAGGAAGATTAAGTTCCCCTACAGACATTCATTTAGTGAATGCAGCTGAGTATATTTAAGTAAGGGTAGCATGGAATTTGGGGCTGTCACAAGTTGTATGGCCACATGATGAATTTCTTTATCACATTTTTTCACATTTTTTTCAAGTTTTTTCAATGCTATGAACATCTTGAGCCTGAACTTGAAATTAAGGTTATTTATTTCAAAGTCGTAAAAAGCCAATTTGCTTTCATTGATTTCCATCCATTTAAGGAGACTTGTACCTATTCCCCTGTAGTTTAAACTTGGCACTATTTTTTTTTTTTTTTAAATGAATTGTAATTATCATTCATTGCAAATTTTCCTTCCTTTTCAATGGCTGCGTGCCTAACTGCCTACAAATAATGGTCTACTCAAGGACAATGTCATCCAACTTTGCTTTGCTGCAAATAAAAAAAACTGGTGATTGAATGACAAAACAATATTATTGACCTCAGTTATTGCAAAATATAGTGATTTGTCAGAGTCTCGCAGATCAATAATAAATATTATTTGCCTCAGTGTTTGGCTTTCATCTGCTCCCCACTGACAAATCACAAAATCTTGCTCAACATTGTCCAATTATTGTTAATTTTTAAAATCAATATTTTATTGGGAAGTTCCAATCTTCTCTTTTATTTAACTGTAAATAACAGTAGTGAAGACAAATCACATATGGTGAACTTTGCTATTTGGTAACAGTTCAAAATCTCTATGCTCCATGTAGTAGCTGCTGTTTGGTTTCTGTACAAACATACCAACCTTTAAAAACATTTCGTTCAAGATGACAATTAAATGCCAAGGGCCTTGGGATTTTTGACCAATGGCAATCACTCTAAAAAGTTAATTCTTTTCAACTTGGAAATCAGGACAACCAAAAACTTGAGGATATTGATTGATGTGTGGTCATTTTAAAAAAAATTTCTTTAGGAGTGTTGACAATAATATGACTTAAATATGACTTGTTTCACAGTAGAGTGCAATAATTGAGTAAAATTTCTGACTAGATTAGGAGATCAACTTTTTCTGTAAAGATTCTCTAGTATTTCACATCTGTTTATATAACAAATCACTTTTCTTCCATTTTTATGCAGAATAAAAATGTCTTATTCTTTATTGTTTCTTGGACAATCTAAGACGGCACTATGTCCTCTCATTGGCTTCTTGCATAAAGAGCAAACAGGGCGTGCTCTTGCAGGCCGTTCTCTTTGTTCACCCCATGTCTGATTTGGCACTGCAATAAAAAATGTATTGAGATAAGGACAGATGATAGAATAAAATGTTTCTTTTTCTGACAGAGCGAACCTTCATTTAAGTATAATTCTTTGCTTATGCAAAGGACCCTGAAATGACTTACTTCTGCACAGGTTGTCTAAACATCAGCAAACAAAAACAAGTCCTCCTCAGGACTACACTAAAGCAGACAATCAAACAACAATGCATGAAAAGACTACTGGGTTCAAACCATTTGCTAAAAAATAAGGGGATTGATCACCAAGCCTCCCCTCAAGGGAATTGATCAGCCTCACTAGGCTCACCCGTCATCAATCTACAACTTTAGATTTTAAACAATGCTGCTTCAAGTTCCAAAACACATACCAGATGGTGCTGTGGGGGGAACAGCTGTTGTAACCATGTTCATCCTCTTTTCTATCTTCCTGATGGCCTCTTCCCTGGGTTGTTTATCCAGCATGCTGTTCATTGGCTGAGCAACCATTTTCTTCATGTCATTGCATGCATCTTGAAGTTGCTGTTTGCTTAGGGTCATGTAAAACTTGAAGAGTTCTCCAACATAGTCTAAATGTTCATTGAACAAAAACAAGGTAATAATTTATGAAGAAGTATGAAACAAAAAAAAGTAGAATGATACTTAGAAAGCTATTTTAACTGTTGGATGAATGGTGGTTAAATACCAAAGTTTGGCTCAATCTTGTGGTTCCGCACAGTTGCTTCACCATTCTTGAATTTGGGGAATGTCATTTTCAGCAAGACACTTCCATCTTGATTAACTTTGTCATCACGGTGTAAATTGAAGTTAAAATGTAATGCAGCTAGTATGTGCCTACAGCATGAGAACAATATGCATATCATCAAAAGTTGCTAATATTTTTATTTAAAAAGCAATGATAGTATTTTAAAAGTTTCATTTTCCTGGCCAAGCAAACAAAAAATAATACACTATTGTTCAACTGGCAAATAAACCATTAATAATCTGTAGAGTCTTTAATGCTAGGGGAGGTATATATAAGATGCTATTACACATTCAAAAAGTAACATTTTAGCCTACCTGCAGAACATTCCAAGATAGGAATAAGCAATAATCTTGGGTGCAAAGAAGTTAAGGACAGAATGAAACCCTTCCAGGCAGTCTGTCTGGGCATACAGGAATGCTTTCATGATTCCCTTCTTCAGGCTGTCAGAGGTCAGGGCTTTCTTTACTTTCTCATATACTAAGTGAGCTAAAAATAGAAATATTGTAATTAAAATAAAATAAACTCGTTTCAGACATTTACTTAAGAGTAAAACAACAACATGGATCTCCAACGGGGCAAGTGTAAACAGGGCCTTTGACCTATGTGAGGCACTTTCCTGATGTGAAAGTGAATAGATATTATCATAGATGTTCTATTGAATCTACAGTAAGTGTACATGACCTGTAAGAAAAGCTTTGAATTTTTCACAAATTTACTGTAAATGTCAGGATCTGCCAAAAGAAACAATTTCTTGAATTTTCAGTATGATGCAAGCAAATATTAATCATGTTTAACAAAAACTCGACATATGCTACACACAATTGACATTGGAGGCAAAATTATGTTCAGTTTTTCGTCTTGGACAGTTAAAATGGAATATAGAGCTTAAAAGACATGTATAATACAAATTACACATACCAGGATTGATCCATGTCCTATGATCACAAAAAGACTGCCTAGGACGAAAGCGAAAAAAAAAGAAAAAAATCCAACAGCATCTTACCACTTCTAGCTGCGTACTTGATGAAGGACTACAAAAGCTCATGTTGATGTTGCAGACTCGTTGAGTGTTCTCAAACGAGACTTTGCAGATCTTACAAGCTGTTATAATTATAGACAAAAACAAGAAAGAAAATTAAGTGTGTAACTCTGTGCATATATCGGAAAGGAGTCTGAATCCTTGCCATTTGTAAAACCACCAAAAGCACGTGGTAATAGGTAAATTTTCACACATTTGCGTCGGTTGCTTACCATGCGCTTCTCCCTCTTGGAAGGTGGTTCCTCTGATTCTTCTTTCGCGTGTATTGTAGAAAATACACAAGTTCCTATATCGTCGGACCTCAGTGAATGTTTCAAATCCGAATCAGGCGAAAGTTGAAGTTGTCCTCTCTAAAATGAAGCGAACACAAGGAGGACGTCTTCCCCGGAGTCCAATCTTTCCTCTTCGAAAGCACAACGCCAACCCATCGCTTTCGCCTTCTTTGGGCTGTGGGGTTAGTCGACCCAAAAAACGGTATTTTATGCATACTAATTCCCTTCTTAGGGTTAGACACATTGCTACATCTCGCCGCAACGCACCTTTCTGGCATTTTGACCTTTTGCACGGGATAAAGTGAACTTTCACGAAGAGAAACCTGCCAGAACTCTTCAATGTTTACCTGCGATAAAGTCACATGTTCCTTAAAGTACGTCATATGACGTCATACTCCGAGAGAAGACTAAGACGAATGGTGTGTAAAATGGCGGCCAATTTGAACGTTTTCAAAAAATTGTAAAAAAATCGGCTTTTGTTCAAATCGCAAAATTTTTTCGCAGAAGTTATTTTAATAAGGTATAGTTTCAGATAAGAAAATAAAAAATTTTTGGTGATGGGCACTTTAAATGCAAGAGCAAAGATGTCGGTAAAGAGAGCAGTGGAGGTATGTTCAGAGGAAGTGGTTGCCGACATATGCCAGGGTAATTTTCAACTTGAGGAAACAATAGGAACCAGAATGTACTTGAGCATGTGTGCTAAGCTGTTTACAATTATGAATAGCACTGAGGTGGACCCATCAAGCTTCAGGGAGCTTGTTAAAATTTTAATTTGGTTCAAGCAATGGTATAATGAGATTAAAATGACAATGCCTGAGAAAGGTCAGTGCAAAGCACATTGGAAGAAATTTATAACAGATAGAACTTACAAAGACCTTATAAGATCTATCAGGGCATTTTTGGGCTTAGTACAATACATTCAAATGAACCACCCCAATGCTGTTATAATTCCTAAAACAATGTGTCAAGATGATGTGGAAAATTATTTTTCCTTACAGCGTGCACGTATTGCTTCAGGTCATCCAACAGTACTCCAATACTTTGAGTCTAATTCAACATTAAATACAAACCTGCTACTTACATCTGAATTTGGAGAACTGAAAGAAAACATAGGCTCATATGATCCGCTATGTATTCCAAATGCAGTGAAATTACCTTTGCCAAGATTAGGAGAGGTATTAAATTAATGGCAGCAAAGCATCAGTTTGCCTTGAATGGTTCGGTAAGCCTGTCATGGAAAGCTACTGGAGTAGCCTTAAACAAGGAAAAGAAACCATGAATAATAAGCCAGAAATTTCTAACAAAGATCAGATAGCAATGCAATGGGGATTAATGTGTGAGAATAGTGCCCTGGCCACATATATCTCCAAGTTTCTTGGCAAGAAATATCCAAAAAGCAAAGTTAATGAGACTGGAGACCATCTAATAAATAATGATAATGGATTTCCATGGCTAGCTTCTTCCCCTGATGGCCTAGTGGAGATTGGGGAAGGAAGCAATAGTCTAGGTGTTTTAGAAATCAAGTGCCCTTTTATGGGAGGTAAACCATTCCCATACAGAAGTGTTTGCGCTTATCACATTCCCCAGATAATGTTAGAAATGCATTGCACCAACACAAAGTGGTGTCATTATGTAGTGTGGACTCCAGTTGGCTATCAAATATACCTTGTTGAAAGAGATGATCAGTACATAGCTGATTTAATTAATTATTTGAAGGCCTTTTGGAATTCCGCACAGGAGGAAAATGGCACTATGCCCCCTTGGCAAGCTGATGCTTTCAACCTAAAAAAGAGAGCAGAAGAACTTGCAAAAAATTGTGAAAAATTGTCATCTGGCAATTCGGTAAGGGATGAGAACATACTTGAACACCAGTTCTTAGATTTATTCTGGAACCATGAAGATAAAACTGACCACACACCAGTTTCGAAAAGAAAATGTGGAGGTTCTAAAGAGGAAGAATGGAAATGCAAACAGAATCCTTGTGAAATTAGACTTGAAAGGCTAAGGAAGAAAACAAATATAGTAGACAATGAGAAACATTTTTACCAGTCATATACCTGGGGATCTGGGGGACTTGGAAATAGCTGCCATCAGGACACTATTCTCGAGTTTTTTTACCATGTGTTTAGACGACAAATTCAGCTTGATGGCAATTCTGGTGAGGGAATGAGTGTACTAGAAGATTGCTTTAAATTGCGAGAAAATGGAAATTTTTTAGAAAGTAAACTGCGACTGTGGAAATGGCTGCGTGATGAAACTGACAGTGGTCACATTTATTATCCATTTGGCCGAACAGCATCCATAATAGGCATATTTTTTCGACTTATCAAAGAGAGCAATGAACCATTCACACTGAACTTTAGACTAACGGAAAACATGACCACTGTCTGCACTCTACTGCCTCAAAAGCACACACAGAGACGAACTAAACACCATGTCATCTATCCTATTTCTGATGATGACATATTATCAGAACATGTGTCTTCTGACCAAAAGTACAAGATCATCTCTGTTCTGGAACATTTGCTGACTCGAAGTGATCAGTTACTACCTTCAAGTTGGTGTGGAAATGTAAATTATGAGCTTCAAAGCGACCCAAGATTAAACATAACAGAAATAACACCTGAAACAGCTACGTTTTGTAAGGGAAAGAAAAAAGTTTTATCGCATGTTTCAAGGAGTCCTAAATCCTTCTTTGTCATGAGAAATGTTTCGAGCACATACATTGACCATATCAATGTGGCAAATACTATATATAGACTAGCAGGAATTGTGTATTTTAATGGGGTACATTATTGGTGTGAGGTTCTTTCAACCCAGTTAGGCTATAAGAATGGCTGGTTCTTTTATGATGGGATGATTAGAGGAGGAAGGGCTGAGTACGTTGGTGGCACTCCCAAGTGCAAACATCCACAGCAAGTTCACATTCTTCTTTATGAGCAATGTTCCACCAATGCAAATATTTATGGTATGACCCTTACATATGAATATGAAAAACTAACTTCAATCATCTCATATTACAGGAGTATGCTGAATCTGTCAGACAATAAAATCAAAATCCAAAATTTAAAAGCAGTACTTAGACATCAGGGAATTTCATTTCAAGTAAATTCAAAACTAGAGGAACTAAAGACACTAGTGCTCAACAGTGCAGGAAGTTCTCTAACCAACCAAAATACTCCTAGTGTTCCACAAACAAGTTTAGAGGTGAAGATGTGTACACCTCCAAGTGTTAAAGACACATCTCTTGTAAAACGGGCTCGTAAGACTCCGACTAAATTTTCAGACTACACACCGGAAAGACATGCACCAAAGAAACTAAAAAAGAACACTTCTTCATCATTAAAAAAAAATTCCTTAAAGAAAGGTGTTACAAAATGTATTGAAACATTTAAAGATCTTGTGAACAGAATGATGGGTCCAAAAGAATCTACTGATAGCAAAAGTTCATCAGAAGATGAAACAGAGCATTACAAATCAAACGCTGTAGAGTTGTCAAACACCTGCTTTAAATAATAGAGGAGCCCACTACAGAGGAAATAATGGCATGCAGAATCAACGATTACCTGTCAAAAAGCTTTCAGTCTGAACTGCCATATCAAATGGTTGACACCAAAGAATTATGGCAGTTCAGGGAGTTTAATCGTTTTTTTACACCAAAAGTTAAAGATGATGGGAAAAGACTTGACCAAATCAGGCGATTTGTTCTCAAATTTGGCATCGAATCACCTCTGATAATGACATATAACAGAAAAAATGGTAAGGTGTACCTGGCAGAAGGGAATCACAGGCTCGCTGTTGCCATGAGTGAAGGAATTCCCTTTCTACCAGCACATGTAACTTCAAATTGGATAGAACCAAATGTTACTACAGCAACACTGTAGTAAGGAGTTTTCAGTATTTATGGTCAGCGGTTGTTACCATTTTGCTTAGGACTCGTGCTAGTTGCCGCCATGTTCTTGTTTATCACATGTGTGATTTAGGTTTACAATCCATGTAATCCTTCGCTCATCTGTATCGTGTAAGGCAGACTAAGTTGTTGTCTGAAGAACTGAAGAGTTAAAGATTATTTGGAGATAAAGGAAAGATCTGACGATTCAAGTTTTTCTCTTTTTTCTTGTGAATAACAACGAAACTCCTTCGGATGCCAAGTACGACTTTCGAGGGCAGCCACAATAACAACTTAATGGTCCTTGGTGAAGCCTTTAACCACTGTAAAGTCATCGCTGTCACAACAAGAAGTTCATAACGAAAGCCGGACGACCTGTGGAGGATTTGAATGGATACCAAGTGGTGTAAGCCTTTGTAGAAAGCTAGTTCTGATCGCCTTTGGTTTGGACTTAGTACTCGTCATGTCTCGAGAGTTGAGTGATATTCCTGAGGATCCAATGTCGGATGTTTGTGGTGAGGTGGTAAGTTCCGCTTCAAATAATTGTTTGGATGATGTTTGCGAGAAGTCTTCGCCTTTAATTGTTGATCTATCGGAGAATGCCGAAAACAACGGATTTTTCCATGTGGAAAATGAACAGCATTCGTCGGAAGTTCGTATTAGGAAGCTAACCGAAAAGGGTCAATCCTATCAAAACGATATAAAGTTGAACTCTTTCAAGAATAAAAGGTCAAGTTTTACGGGAACACTGAGAAAAACACTGTTGCTTCGGGGACATTGTAATGAATTATCAAAGTGGAAGCAAGAGCTTAGTAAGGCACAGGTTCTGTGGAATGAATTTGTGGATGCATATAATGACATTTTGGAAACAGTTCAAGACGATGAGTTAGCAAAGGTCAGGAACATCTGGGAGCAAGTTTGTGGTGAGTGGTCTGATTTTGAAAGAGATGTGAGGGATGAGATAAAGTATTTGGAACAAACAGTTTTGGAGTCTAATTCTGTCATTTCTAAGGGTTCAAAGAGGAGTAAAACAACCAAAAGTGTCAAGTCAAAATCAAGTTCAGACAGTGTACTTTCAACTAAAGTAGATAAATATAAGCTTCTACAGGAAGAAGCTGCTTTGAAGGTGAAGCTAGCCTATGTGGAACAAGAAAAGGCCTTAGAAATAGAAAGGTTAAAACAGAAGCAGAAACTGGAAGAATTCAAACTTAAGAGGGAACTTGAACTTAGTAGAGCCAAGTTAAGTGTATGCAAAGAGATTGATAATGAGCAAACACCCTCCCTTGAAGAAGATCTAGTCAATCTTCCTAGTGAGAGTAAAGGCGAAGGAGTGAAAAGATTCTTGCAATCTCTAACAGTAACTACCCGTGCAAATGAGACTAATACATCAGTTCAGTCCCAAGTACATGTATCCCAAACACCTGTTTTGACAACAACATCCACACCAAAGACTACAACATGTGGTCTGCGGGCTTCTGCTCCATCATTCTCCCCGGGAGCCGTAACACAGTCAGTATTTGCTGTTCGTCATTTTGAACCTGAACTTGGTCTTCCCATTCAAACAGAAGCAGCTTGTACACAAGCTTTCTCGTCGGCAAAAACTGATCCTGTTGTAACTAACTCCATAAGTGGTCCATCACCAATTATGTCAACAGTTATGAATTCCCCTTCAAGTTACCAGTTTGTTCATCCTCAAGGTCAAGTTAACTCCTTCTGTGAAGGGTGGGAAAAGGTTGCTTCATCATTAGAAAGGTGTATGGACAAGTTAACAGAAGCTAACTTAGAACAAAGTACTGTGAGCAAAGAACTGTTTGTTTCTGGACAACTTCCAAAACTGACCATTCCAGTATTTGAAGGAGACCCCCTGCAATATCCTGTGTGGAAGAGTGCCTTTAATGCTCTAGTTGACTCTAGACCACTGGCAGCAGACATCAAGCTGAATATGTTGAATCAGTATGTAACTGGAAAGCCAAAGCAAGTTGTGGAACATTATCTTCTGATTGGGACAGAAGATGCTTATCAGAAAGCTAGGTCTGTATTGCAGGAAAGGTATGGAAACTGTAATGTTGTGAGTACAGCATTTATTAACAAGTTGGAGAAGTGGCCTAAGATAGGACCCAAGGATGCCAGTGCCTTAAGGGAGTTCTCAGACATGTTAGACAAGGTATTAGCAGCAAAGAACACCATTCCAGGTCTTTCTGTACTGGACTATGCAAAGGAGAATGTAAAGTTACTATCAAAGTTACCCTACTACCTTGAAACCAAGTGGAGAGATGCAATTAAACAATGGAGACATACCCATGGTGAAGCCAGTTACCCTACCTTTGTTAAGTTTGCAGATTTCATCAGAGAAGCCGCAGAAAAGGCAAATATCCCAGAGTTAGAAGGCCTCGCCACATCAAGTAGTCCAAGATTTAACAGAAATCCGAAGCTGAAACCAGATAATGAGAAGGGTAGTTCTCTTTCTACATCAGCTAAGGGTGGTGGTAACAGTAAATCAGACCCCACTAATTCTAGTAAATCAAAGGACCCTGGTCCAAATGGTTTGACGAAGTGTCTGTTTTGTGGTGCAAAACACAAGTTAGATGACTGCGCTGATTTCTGTAGAAAGCCTTTCAGTGAAAGGAGAGACTTCTTCTTCCGCGAACGTTTGTGTATGGGTTGTGCAGCCAGTAAGAATCATCAGGTAGCGAACTGCAAGGAGAGGTTGAAATGCAAAATGAAAACATGCTCAGGAACACATCCCACATGCCTTCACAAGGAACTAACACAAGACAATGCTGCCATCTCAAATTGTATGAGTGTATGTCTAATTCCTGAACAAAGCGGTGGATTTGATCACACCATGATAGTACCAGTGTGGGTCAGACCAGTGGGAGAGCCAGAGAAGGAAATCTTGCAGTATGCAGTCCTCGACGATCATTCAAATGTCAGTTTTGTGTCTGAGACTCTTTGTGAACGGTTTAACCTGCAAGGCCCATCAACCGAGCTTCTGTTGACAACAATGCAGCAGCAAAATGCCCGTGTTAAAACTAAAAAGATATCTGGGCTAGAGATTCTTGACTACCATAGAGAATGTGTAGTGAAGATGCCAGTGGCCTTCACCCGGGAACTTGTTTCAGCTAACCGGTCGCAGATTCCAAAACCTGAAGTGGCTAGGGAATGGCAACATCTGAAGCCCATCGCCGATAAGTTGACACCGTACCACCCAGATGCAGAAATTTCTATCCTGATTGGAAACAATTGCCCAAGAGCTATCCGACCCAGGGAAATAGTTGCCGGTGAAGATGACGAGCCGTACGCTCAGAGGACTATACTTGGTTGGGGAGTTATTGGAAGAGTCTGCAAGTCTAATGATGTTGAAAACACAGACAAGGGTGTGTGCAATAGAGTTGCAGCTTCAGAAATTCGTAGCCAGTTTGCATTCGCCACGAAGGCTAAAGAGATTATTGGCCCAGAGAAAGTTCTCCATGTGTTAGAGACTGACTTTGTTGAGACAAGTTCCAAGTACAAACCTTATTCTATGGAAGATGAGAGATTTCTAAGGATTCTTGAGGACGGAGTAAAGAAACAATCGGATGGACGTTACGTGATGCCACTTCCGTTGAAATCAGACAGTGTGTGTCTCCCAAATAACCGCCAACTCGCAGTAAAGAGATGGAACCAATTGAAGGCCAGATTCAAGAAGAATCCGAAATTCTTTACTGATTATCAGGCCTTCATGAAGGACATAATCTTACAATGTGCAGAGGAAGTTCCGGTAGATCGTCTTAAAGTTCAAGACGGTAAAGTCAATTACGTACCGCATACAGGTGTATACCATCCAAAGAAACCAGGACAGATAAGGGTGGTGTTTGACTGTTCGGCCCAGTTTAACGGAGTCAGCCTCAATGACTACTTGCTGCAAGGTCCTGACTTTATGAACGATCTGTTGGGTATCTTGTGTCGTTTTCGCAAGGAAAGCGTTGCATTTATGACGGACATCAAGAGCATGTTCCATCAGTTCGTGGTTGCCGAAGAACACAGAGATCTGTTACGTTTTCTTTGGTGGTTGGATGGGGACCCATCAAAGGAAGTAGTCGACTATCGTATGAAAGTTCACCTGTTTGGTGCCAGCAGTTCCCCAGGTTGCGCCAACTTTGGGCTTAGGCGAGCAGCTGACGATGGCGAAGAAGAGTTTGGTACAGATGCTGCGGCGTTCATACGCAAGGACTTCTACGTAGATGATGGACTAAAATCTGTATCAACGGTACCCGAAGCCATTCAGTTAATCAAGGCCAGTCAAGCAATTTGTAGCAAGGCTTGTCTCAGATTACATAAAATAGTCTCGAACAAGAAAGAAGTTCTTGAAGCCTTTCCGGTTGATGACCATTCAAAGGAAATAAAGGAACTGAACTTAGCTGTAGATCCATTACCTATTGAAAGAGCTCTAGGCGTGATGTGGTGCGCTGAAAGTGACAGTTTCCGGTTCCGGATTGAACTTCATGATCGCCCTTTAACTCGAAGAGGTGTATTGTCCACTATTGGCTCCATTTATGATCCTAATGGGTACCTGGCCCCTGTTACACTCAGAGGTAAACAGATTCTTCAGCAGATGTGCAAAGACAAGTTGGATTGGGATAGCCCT